ATATATATATACACACACGTGTATATATACATATACAATTTTGACACAATTTTGCTCCCTATTTTTAGATGGTATGATGAATTTACAAAATACACTCAAACTGAAAAAATCTTTCATGCATAAAAGAGCTTAGAGACAGGTCAAACCTTCGTCATGCTGAGGTGAACAACACACTCACATGGAAGAATTGAGCAGATCCAAAGCTTCTGCCTGCTTGAAGTGTTTGGTGAAGTCCAAGGCAGTCCTGAAACAAAACAAGAGTCACATGTGTAGCATTTTCAAACTGTTGGCTTGAATGTTTAGTCTGCAGTCCAAACTGTGACAAATGGTTTAGGTGTAAAATAACACATTAACTCCACTATATGTAATGCAAAAAACAAAAGTAGCTCTAAGTGAAGGAATTACTGGTAATAATAAGATGTAAATGTAATGTAATGCCACTTTGTCCTACCATCCATTAGCTGCTTTCATGTTTATGTCAGCACCCATGCTGAGCAGCTGCTGAACTTGTGGAAGGAATCCTCGACCTGCTGCCACCATCAGAGCTGTGCAGCCCGTCTCACTGTGCGTGTAGTCCACTAGAGAAGACAATTCAGAAGGAGTGAGAGTCCTACATTAGAACATGATGTAAGACTGAAGCACATTTATAACCATAACACAGCAGAGACTGGTCAAGTCAACATAAACTAATTTGTAGGGATGGGAACCTTTAGGCATCAAACAATTAAAATTTTTTGTTAGGTTTTAAACAGTTTCTAAATTTGTTTTGAACTTTCTTTTAAAATAATTGACCAAGTGTTTATTCAAATGTAGGCTATTGTTGAGGGAAAAAAAGAAAAGAAAAAAAATCATAAAATAAGCAATAAGATGCAAATTTATTGTATTGTAAGGCTTTGTATATTTTTCTTCATCCCAAATGATTTTTTTTTACTTTTCTAAATTTAGTTTTATAATATTACGCAGCCCGTGAGGGGACATGGGAGATTTTTTTTTTCTCTTGTGTTCCCACGCAATATTATTGCGTTACCTCGTAAAAGTAGTTTATCACTGTTGTACCTGCCGGTTTATTAACAAATTCACATGTTTACCATTAGCGAGTTAGCCTACTGCTTTAATTCAGCTTCAGAATGAATATATCACACAGCCACGCATGGAAGTATGTCATATGATATTTTAACACAGTGCAGCCACGCAACATCATGTCAATTTCATGAACTGTGGCGACACATCCTGTTTTGGTAAACGGATATTTCAAAATAAAAGTCTGATTTAATTCAGTTCGTATACAAATCAAAGTTTTGCATGGGAACGCAAAACAATATTGCGAGGTAACGCAAAAGAAAAAAAAATCCCCCCATGTCCCCTCGCGGGCTCCGTATAATTTAACCACAGCATTTCATTTAAAATGTCCTATCATATAGTGGGGTTTCAAAAATTTCAATAACTTAAGAAGAAAATGTCATGAAAATTATTTTTTTTTACCATAATACGACAAAAACTGTTTTAGTTGAACTTTATATTCATTTATTCAGTAAAAAATGCATAAAATCTAACTGTTATTCATTTATATAAAAAACTATTTTTTGTCAAAAAAAGCTCTTTGCATGTTAGTTCATGAGAGTAAAAAGCAATAAAAATCTGTCACATAGGGTCTTAAAAATCACTGTAGATATGGAAATACAGTGAAAGCATTTGTACAACTTGAGACCCGTCCACAGAGAAGAGGAGGAGAAGAAATCAGCCATTTAAATCCTACCGTTAACACTTTCATTGAGGAGGAGGTTGAAGAGCTGACCAAAAGCATCCTGGTCCTCGTGAAGGAAAATGTTTGTAATGCAGGAGTCCATTTCTTTTACCAGCCACAGCTCCAGTTGTCCTGCACCACTGTCATTCTGTGACGAAACGATCCACAATAGGGTTTGGAACGACTCAGACTGATCTGAGTGAGTCAGTCACATAAATCACAGGCAGTTCATTATAATAATGAAGCTTTGCTTGCGGGCTGAACTCCTGAGCCTGACAAACTAGATCTTAAAAATAAACCTCACTTATCTTTGTAAAACATCAATGATGCTGCCAATCTAGACTGCAAACTCTTGTTTATTTTGAAGCATATTACTGGTGTTCAGATGTAAAAATCACACAAACTGTTATGAGGGAATAAAAGAATCTGATGTTGAATGAACAGAGCCAGTAGAAGAATGTAGAAAGTAAGAAAGTAAACATGTACAGTAGGTTTCCCTCAGGCCCAGGCTGCTCTTGAAAAACAGATCTGTGATCTCAGTGTGATTTTCCTGGTTAAACAACACTAAAATAAAACTTAGTGAATGCCTGGATTACCAGATGGGTACTGGCCCAGACTTCTCCATCTCCACCACCGCTGGCTTGGCCTGCAGATAAAATACTGGGACTTTGTTGTTTCTCCACATCAGCGCTGATCTCCACCGCCTCACACCACTCGGTCAAACGCTTCTGTTTTTTCTCCTCTGAAAAAAAAAAAACATCATTTGTGAGAAAGGCAGAGAATCAAGTCAAGATTTAGTTTTATATGTGTAGAAATAAAGTTTCATACTTTTCTGTTTCTCTTCCTTGTAAACGTTCATGTCCTTCCTGTTAAAGCCTGTCAGTTTCAAAATGTCCTCCAGAAAATACTCCGTCACGTCAAACTGCCTTCCTTCAACTTTGAAAAATAAACAAATACGCCACATGATTAATCACACAGAAACACAAAGTTTGCTTTGTTTCAATAACGCCTTAATCTTAATTTCAGAATGAGTGGATTCTAAAATAAATCTTCATTATAAATCTTGCACATAAGCTATAAATGATTCTAAATATCCATTTGGAAGTTGAGTCATATCAGGAATAAACTTTATTTATTCAAACTGAAGCCATTTAAAGAGCTTGCAACAGGTAAATTATTATTTCTTCATAACGTTTTCACCAAACCCCACTTTAAGATGGATGGAATACCCCTTTAATAGTTGTCTTCATCACTGATGGCATGGATAAAGTGGACTTACGATAGATAACAGGGCAGGAGCCGAAGTACTGAAGGAACAGGTCTACATCCAAAGCTGCACTGGAGAGAATCAGCCTCAGAGAGGGGATTTTCTGAAGCACATCCCGCATCTTAGTAAGCAGGAAGTCAGTCAGACCGTCACGCTCGTGCACTTCATCCTGCCCACATCAAGTCATTTCCACATGTCAAAGTTCTTTTGTTTTGTTTTACAACAAAAGTCAAACACTAAAACTTTAAGAGGTAAAGAGAAAGTGGAAGGTGAATCAGCTTTTAATGTTCTTAGATTTTCAGGCTGTCGTTGTGTAGCTGCTCACCACAATGACGTGAGTGACGGTCGTGAGGCTGCCGTCTCCTGCCATCAGTGTTCTGAGGAGGACTCCACTTGTGCAAAACGTCAACAGGGTCTTAGGAGAGACCCTGAGATCGGACAAATTCTAAGTTATAAATCATTCAGAATCAAGACATGAAAAGCTCTTAAATGGCTCAAAGTTTTTATACGTTTGTCTGAAATTTAGTTTCTAGTAGACCGCTTGTTTCTTTTTAAAGAGATCCATGATTAGTTGTAACATTAGACTTTATTTAATAAACATAAATTTTAACTGTAAAATAAAGTCTGTAAAAATACTGTAGGATGTTTACTTTTATTTTTAAACTAAAAGTTTAAAAATATATTACACGGACGGGGCTATTTTATTTACACTCAAAGCATTCTGGGTAAATGATGACGTGGATAGGTCCTCGGTGTGAGCGAGCTATATCCACCCTGAAGGTTAATCTTAGACAATATCTGATGATCGACTCTTTTAAATGAAACCAGAGAGCGTTGACAGAGAGGAGAAGGTAGAAATGACTCAGCCTGGAACTGAAAATATGGATGGAGGTCAACAGAGCTGCTTCATGGAAGAAGAACCTCAGCTTAGCCTGTTAGCTTTAGCATTAGCCCCGACGCTATCACCATAAATATGTATTAGCTCAGCGCTACACATTCTCCTCTTATCATTGACGTCCTCCATCCACATGACAGAGAGGGGAACACAAAAATGACTCAGCTGCAACTGAAAATATGGATGGAGGACCTCAGTTTAGCTTGTTAGTTGTCACACTAGAGCCGTGCTAATACATAGCATCAGTGCTAGCACAAAGGCTAACATGCTAAGCTGAGGTTCTTCTTCCATGAAGCAGCTCTGTTGTCCTCSATCRATATTTTCAGTTKCAGGCTGAGTCATTTCTACCTTCTCCTCTCTGTCAACGCTCTCTGGTTTCATTTAAAAGAGTCGATCATCAGATATTGTCCAAGATTAACCTTCAGGGTGGATACAGCTCACTCACACCGAGGACCTATCCACGTTATCATTTACCCAGAATGCTTTGTGTGTAAATAAAATGGCTCAGTCCGTTTTAAAATATATATTTTAAATATTTACAAATTTATACAGCCTACAGTATTTTTCCAGTCTATTTTACAGTTAAAATATATTTTTATCAAATAAAGTCTAATGTTACAACTAATCAGGGATCCTTTTAAAACTTTCATTTCATTTAACAAGTTATGAGAATTTTGTGCCTATTATTAAGATTAGTTAAATACATGGGAAAAAAACAATGAAATAAATCCTAGAATTGTGTGTTTTTGTACAATAAAGTTGTTCAGATATCATGATGCTAATTTACTTTAACAAAACACAAACTCAAACCCAAACAGTATTAGTAAAGTCTACCTGCTCTCCAGTCTGATGTGGTAACCAACTGTCTGACCCACGCTCTCCCCTCTCTCAGCTGCCACTCTTTCAGCCACAGCGATGGCAGCCAGGCGCCTGGGCTGCGTACAGAAGATCCTGCAGGGCTGTCCGTTCTTGCTGCAGTTATCTAACAAAAACTGTGGAATCTGGATGATACAAAGGTACAGTGTGATATTAATTCAATCTTATTTAATATTACTGTCATTTAAAGCACTTTGCTACACATCTTAATATCATTAATATACACAGAAATGCCAAAACTACCAAAAATCCATTCAAGTCAGATCTTACAATATTTCAAAAAGAATAAAAAATGTAAAACTAACCAGCCATTGAACATTTCCATCAATCTTCTACTAATGTTTTGTTAAATAAAATTGCTCCATGTACTCTTTAAAAAAAAGTTAGACATTACTACAGTCAGGTTTTATAACATAAAACACTTCACTGTGTGGCAATCCAAGCAGTAACTGCTGAATTATTTCAGCAATAAATAAACAAATAAATAAATAGAGAAACAAAATAAATAAATTAAATATGATTTCCTTAAGATACCAAAGTGGCCTTAAAGAGTAACTTACCACCCCTGTGAAAAGATAACTCCGCCCCAAGGCGAAATTTGAAAAATGCATCAAAGTGGGTAGGGGAGGGGGTGTGGGTAGAGGAAGGGGGGTTAGAGAGCGGAGGTGTGGCCAGGACGAGAGAACGTGACAGGCAGCTAGCATTAGCATAATTGATGCAACATGGAAAGTGACCACAGTATCGCAGAGAGTTACATCTCTGAATGTCTAAAGTGGAGGATTTTCACCCCACACCAGCACCAGACAGAGGAGGAGCGCTCCGACAGCCTGACTGAAAAAAATGAAAGCATACAGCTGCAGCTGCTCACACGATCGCTAGTTTAAATCAGGAATAAAAGTAGTAATATAAAGTAGTAGTAGTCTCCCCACCCGAGGCTGAAGGTCAACAGACGATCATGCTAAGCTTGCTAACAGCTCCACCCTCTGACTGCTGCAGGGGCGTGTCTTAGAGAGAGGTTTATATACCAGGACACAGCCGCTGTGACGAAACTGTGCAGAACCACGTCACAGTGCAGAGCCATTAACCAATATGCAAACTAGCCTGCAGTACCAC